CGACACCCATAGGAGTCCAGTGTCTCCCACTTTCCATCTGTGTCAGTGGCCAGCCCCAACAGACCTGTCACCCTCAGCCGGTGACCTGACATCCTGAGTCAGGCTTCCCAGCACAAAACCCCTGTGGTGGACATCTGGTACCTCATCCCACCCACAGCCCAGTCAGCCCTAGCCCTGTGGCCCCTCCTCCCAGAAACCAGATGGGGTCCTGTCCCTCCCAGGTGGGCTCTGTCCTGTGTCTGGAGCTGTGTGTTCATTTAGTTTCCTCAGTGGGAGGATAGTTGAAGATGCACCAGTTTATATACTTTTTTTTTTTTTAGCGGTACTGGGGTTTGAACTCAAAGACTTGTGCTTGCTAGGCAGGCATTCTACCACCTGAGCCATGACCGCAGCCCCTCACCTAGTTTAAATGTGACCTCTGACCTCTGTGAGGCCTGGCACGCATGGCATGTGCAGCTTGAAGCCAACACCAGCCTAGTTTCAAGCTCCCTTCCATTAGCTTGGCCTGCAGAATCAGTTCCCAAGCCGGCACACACCACGGGACTCTCAGGTTTACCATCTGCTCTGGGCCCTGCACCGACACGCACAGCACACACAGGACCCTCAGGCTGATCCTGGGCTGGCTTTGCTCGCTCACCAGGTGCTGCTGCTCCCAGGGCTCCGACCTTCCTCTCTGGAGCAGCTGTCCACTGTGTGACTGATCCACAATGCGACTGTCCTTGGATGTTTGGTCACTTCCAGTCTGGGGCTGTAAGAGTAGAGGGACTGTGAACATCTCATACAGGGTTTCTGTAGACCTGAGACATCCAGCTCACTTAAGCAAGCAACCGAGGAGGATTTCTGGATCGCTAGGCAGATGCACGTCCGACTTTGTTTAAAATTCCAGCTTTCCAGGGACTGCCATTTCACCTTTCCATCAGCAGCATGTGACAATGTCAATTGCTAATGTCACTATTTCAGTCTTCATGTTACCTATTCCAGTGAGGTCAAGTGCTGCCTCTTGATTTTAATTTGTGCTCCCTAGTCATAAATGAGGTGAAGCACCTCTTCATTCTCGAGGGTGAATTCAAGTCTTTGGGCCATCTTATAAACCTGTGTTGTCTTATCATTTACTTACTGTGTTCTTTACATATCCTGGACAAGAGTCCTTTGTCATAGATATTTACTGTGCATATTTTCTCCCAATTTGTAGTTTGCCTTTTCACTTTCCTAATAGTGCCTTTCATACTTTTGAGGACAGATTTGTCTATTTTTTTTTTCTTTTGTGGTTTTCCTCTTTGTGCCTACTACAGTTTGAATGAGAAATGTCCCCTATAGGTTCCTGTGTTGAACACTTGGTCTCCTATTGGCGGTGCTATTTTGGGGAGGTTCTACACACTTTAGGAGGAAGTGGGTTACTAGGAGTGTGTCCCTGGGTTTGAACTCAGGGCCTCTCAATAGCTAGGCAGGCACTCTACCACTTGGACCACACTGCCAGACCCAGGGGCATGTCCCAGGCCCGCTCTGCTTCCTGGTTATTGTGAGGACATGCTCCCACCACTGTGATATTCTGCCTCTCTACAAGTCCAGAAACAGATCCAAGTGACCACAGACTGAAACCAGGAGCCAAAATATAACATTCCTCCCTTTAAGATGTTCTCAGGTATTTTGGCCACAGCTATGGAAAGCCAACCATTATAGTGTCCTATTTAATAAATTTTTTTGCCTGCCCTACAATGGTAAAATATGTTGTTGTTTTTTTTCTAGAATCTCTAAACATTTAACTTTTATCTTTTAAGTCTATGGTCTAGCTCAAGCTAATTTTGTATGTGGTCTGATGTAGGGATTCAAGATCAATTCTTTTTCATTCAATATCCAGCATCATTAATTGAAAGAGTTTCCTTTTCCCATTGAATTTGATTGACATGTGACAAAATCGGTGGTGATCCGCTGTGTACCTGCTTCTGAATCCTCTTGTCCTCCCCAGCTGTTCCCGACACCACACTGCAGCTTCACAGTGGGAACTGAAATCAGGCGGTGTGACCCTCCAACTGCCCTTCTTCCTAACGTTGTGCAGGCTCCTGTGTGCTTTGTGCTTCCGTAACAGGCTTTAGAATCAGCTTGTCAAGACCAGAAGAATGCCCGCTGGGCTTCTGCCTGGCATTTTGCTAATATGGAGCTGAATTCCAGGAGAACAGCATCTCACGAGCACATCTTCCAGCTCTTGAGCACTGCACACCTCCCTACCTATCCAGGCCCTCCTTAGCTTAGCTTGCAACATTTGGCTTACCGTGGAGTATTTGCGGCTACTGTCAATTTATTCCAAAATAGCGGTTTTTGTTTTTGGTGAGTCAGAGTATCACTGTGTAACCCATGCTGGCTTCAAACCCAATATCCTCCTGTCTCAGCCTCCCAGATATTAGGATTACAGGCATACGCCTCTGCCCAGCTATGGCTTGCTGTTGACGCAGTTTTAAGTGGTACTTTTCTGCCATTCTCTAGTTGTTATTAGTATATGCAATACACATTGGCGTTGTGTCCTGCTTCTTCCCAAACTCACATTCTTTGTAAGTGTGACATGGGTAATCATATTGTCTGTGACTAAAACCCAAAGTTCTTCATTATTTTATACTTTTAAAAGTAAGCCTTGTCCAGACCTGGAATCAGCCCAGCCTCTTTCCATCCCTCTAAAAGCCAAACTTCTGCAGGAATTATGCATGCCTCTCACTGCCACCGGCTCTTCCACCCTCCTATGGCTCTGTCCACATGAAACCAGAGGCCTAGCTATTCCCTGTCCCTGGTGTCCTCCATGTGACCAAGTCCAGCAGTTCCTCCACGCTTTCTTTATTACTCTTTTGGCCACATTTGACCTGACTGCCCCTCCCCTTTAAAAGGATCTTCCCTGACCCTGTTCTGCCCTCCTCCTCCTCTGTGCCCTGTGGTCACCTGCTGCTCCTGGCTCAAGGGTCTCCAAGGCTGCCCTCTCTCAGCCCAACCACCCTTTGCCATCACTTCTCAGAGGATGAGGTACAACCTACACCCGCAGCGGAGGCCCTGACATCAACGTGGACCTTAGCAGTCCACGTGTTCAAGACAGAATGCAGCTTTAAGGGAGCCCCATGGCGTGCAGCCTAGCGGCCTCCCCGCCCCTCTCCTACAGCCCCAGAAACTCTGGCCCAGATCCTCAGCTGGCCATCCCCTGGGGCCTCACTGCCCCTCCTCCACTCTGAACGACCAGTGTGGCCCCACATCCCATCCGCAGACCCGCTCAGATCCACGCCCGCAGGGAGATCACGCCACAGGTGCCCGGGGCTGGAGAGAAACCCGCCCAGGATGGGGGCTGCCCTGTCCAGCAGGTGTCCAGCCGCCCTCCTCCTTCCCTTGACACCAGCCCCCCAGGTGGCTCAGCGCCATCTCCCGTAAGTCCCCTGTAGCGCCTGGACGCTCTGGCCAGCCTCCCCGCGCTCACCACACCGCTTTAGGACTCCACAGGCTCCGCCCCCAGCCTCCACGGGGTCACGGCCCCAAGCTCCCCGCCCTCGGTGACGCCCTTCACCCACAGGCTCCGCCCCTGACCCCCCCCCGGTCACGCCCTTCACCCACAGGCTCCGCCCCTGACTCCCCCCCTCGGTGACGCCCCGTTAGGACCCACAGGCTCCGCCCCTGACCTCCCCCTCGGTGACGCCCTTCACCCACAGGCTCCGCCCCTGACTCCCCCTCGGTGACGCCCTTCACCCACAGGCTCCGCCCTGACTCCCCCTCGGTGACGCCCCGTTAGGACCCACAGGCTCCGCCCCTGACTCCCCCTCGGTGACGCCCTTCACCACAGGCTCCGCCCCTGACTCCCCCTCGGTGACGCCCTTCACCCACAGGCTCCGCCCCTGACTCCCCCCTCGGTGACGCCCGTTAGACCCACAGGCTCCGCCCCTGACCTCCCCCTCGGTGACGCCCTTCACCCACAGGCTCCGCCCCTGACTCCCCCCTCGGTGACGCCCTTCACCCACAGGCTCCGCCCCTGACCTCCCCCTCGGTGACCGCCTTCACCCACAGGCTCCACACCTGACTCCCACCCTCGGTGACGCCCTTCACCCACAGGCTCCGCCCCTGACTCCCCCCCTCGGTGACCGCCTTCACCCACAGGCTCCGCCCCTGACTCCCCCCCTCGGTGACGCCCCGTTAGGACCCACAGGCTCCGCCCCTGACCTCCCCCTCGGTGACGCCCTTCACCCACAGGCTCCGCCCCTGACTCCCCCCCTCGGTGACGCCCTTCACCCACAGGCTCCGCCCCTGACTCCCCCCACCTCGGTGACGCCCTTCACCCACAGGCTCCACACCTGACTCCCCCACCTCGGTGACGCCCTTCACCCACAGGCTCCGCCCCTGACCCCCCTCGGTGACGCCCTTCACCACAGGCTCCGCCCGATTCCCCCCTCGGTGACGCCCTTCACCCACAGGCTCCACACCTGACTCCCACCCTCGGTGACGCCCTTCACCCACAGGCTCCGCCCCTGACCCCCCCCTCGGTGACGCCCTTCACCCACAGGCTCCGCCCCTGACTCCCCCCCTCGGTGACGCCCTTCACCCACAGGCTCCGCCCCTGACTCCCCCTCGGTCACGCCCCGTTAGGACCCACAGGCTCCGCTCCGGGCGCCCCCAGCCGTGCTCATCCTTTGGTGTCATTTGTGCAGCTGTCTGTCCAGGTCCATGACAGGGACAGCCGCTATTTGTACGACGGAAGGACGGATGGATGGACGGATGGACGAGTGTATGAATGAATGCGAAGGGGAGCGCAGGACTACTTCCCGACCCACAGACTGTGCCGCCCCGCAACTGGAGCCAGTAGCCCTGAGCCAACCAGGTGGCGACTAGTCCCGCCACGCCACGTCACGCCATGCCCTTCCCTCTTTCCGGGGGCCGACCGATGTGGCCACGCCCACCCACGCTCCGGCGTCCCTCCCGGTCTCTAGGCAACCGCCGTTGGTCCTCTGGGCAGCTACTGACTGATCTTAGACAGTGGCGCCATGGACCTGGTCGTCATGCAGGAGCTGATCCACGCAGAGAGCCACCAAGGTGGGCCTGGGGTTGCCGCCCCGGCCCCTGGGAGGCCCGGGGCAGATGAGGAGGCAGTGGGAGAAGGAATTAGGGATTTAACCAGAATAGAGGCCTCCTCCGCTGAGCCACCTGGCCAAGAGTTCAGGGACCTGTGGCCCTGGGCTGGTTGTCACTGGACAGGCCAGTGGGCTGGGAGGTCCCGCCTTGGGACTGTGCCTTCTCCAGGTCTTGCACTTCAGCCATCCTCTACTCAACAGACTCTGATGCCTTGCAGCGAGCTTACCAGCTGATCAAGTCTGCCAATCTGGGGAAGTCAGAACTGGATCCCTGGGAAAGCTTCAGCCCTGACCTGTTTGTGCTGTGTGCAGAGCAGGCCCTTAAGGTGACTGGGTCCAGGCTCCTGACTGGGATAGCTGCAGGACCCATGGGCCTCCCTGTCTCTGGGTGTATATGACCGCAGAGGCCAGTGGAAGGGCAGGGATGGGTGTGTGATCCTTATGGAGGGGTCCAGGCTGGTCCCACTGGTGGCCTGGCTTCAAAAATGTGTCATCCAAAGAGCATCTTTCCGGCCATGTTCTCCCGCAGATGGGACAGCGAGAGGTAAGTGAAGACTGCATCCAGATGTACTTCAAGGTGAAGGGGCCGGTCACCCAGTTCCTGGGCCGAGCACATCTGTGTAGGGCCCAGTTGTGTGCCCCACAGGAGGACAACCTGGTGAGTGCACCTGAGCTCCCCCACAGCCTTTCGGGCTTCACCACTCCCCTCCAGAAGGTGGCAGCCTAGACGAGTCTTAGGATAATTTTTTTTATTATTGTTTTATTATTCATATGTGCATACAAGGCTTGGGTCATTTCTCCCTCCTGCCCCCACCCCCTCCCTTACCACCCACTCCGCCCCCTACCTCCCCCCGCACCTCCTCGCTACCCGGCAGAAACTATTTTGCCCTTATCTCTAATTTTGTTGAAGAGAGAGTATAAGCAATAATAGGAAGGAACAAGTGTTTTTGCTGGTTGAGATAAGGATAATTTTTTTTTTTTTTTAGCAAAATGGAGTTAACTAGCCAGACTCGTTTTTCTGCATGACATGAAACTTGCACTGTGTCCTGTTTGCACTTTGCTCTCTGGTCACTGCTTGTCAGATGTCTGACAAGTGTTGTGATAACCCTTTTACCTCTGCATGGTACTGTCATGGTCTTTCTTCCTTGTGAGCCTGAAGGCTGTCCCTGAGCTGGGCATAAGGGAGCTGGGGGAGGCCAGTGCCCTGAGTTCAGGCAGCTGTGGTTTCTGGTCTCACCCAGGCTCTCTCCACCGAGCCTTGACTGTGCTTGAGTACCAGGTGGTCTTCAGTGAGGGTGTTCACGGAAGTGAGGGGTACCCAGGTGGTGCATCTGATTAACTTGTGCATTCTTTATGCTGTTTTAGGAGGAATTTGAAAATTGTGTAACTCAGTACATGAAGGCTATAAACTTTGCAAAAGGAGAACCAAGGTAGGTAGGCATGACTGAGCTGACTGTTTCTAATTGACAGTGCAACAGGCTTTAGTACCAGTGGTCCTGTCTATGAGGATTGTTGAGTTTTCCTCCTTGCTTTTGTTTTGTGTTTTTAATGAATTTGTGATCATAGACTCATCTTGTTAGCATGAGAATTGGGCCGTGTTCATACAAAACTCCCATGGAGCCGCACCCTCCTCTGTGGTCAGTGGTTTTCAGGATTTGTAGATGGCTTGCCCAAGTGTTTTCTCTATGGGCCTCCCTCTGATCTGTCCCCTGAGCCCCCTCACTCCCAGCTTCAGGCTCAGCATCTCTGGGATGAGAAAGTCATGCTCTGGGTTTCCCCAGGTGGGCTGCCAGCTGCCCGTGGCCAAGGCATCCTGTCTGTGCAGAGGTGACTCACTGGAACTCTAGCACTTCTTCAGAAACAAATGCAACATTTGCCACTGTGAAGCTTGCACATAGCCTGGTGTTAATGTAACACTTGCAACGTGACACAGTATTTGAAAGGCTTTCGTTCCTTCTTCCCATGTCCACTGCTTGTCTGTTGATGGGCTTCCCTGCCTACACATTGTGTAGGTGCTGGGATACAGGGTCCAGCCCACCATCTCTCCCTCCCTCCCTCCATGGGGGCCGGGGGCTGACCCTGAACAGGTCCTAAGGACAGTAGGTGTTTGCAAAGGGAGCTTGTTCTGGTGTTGGAGCAGGAGGCCCAAGTACCCTGGGTAGGAGCCCCGGAAGTGTGGGGCTCCACTACTGGAGATGGGCCAGAAGGGTGACCATGAGCTTGGGAGGGTGGTCAGAGCTGCCTATATGAAGAAGCCTGGGGGAGATGGCCCAGGTGGCCCTGTGGGAAGGGAGAAGAGCCTGAGGGAGGAGGAATCAGGGTGAAGGGAGCAGAGAAGGTGAACTCTTTTCCAGCAAAAGGTGACATGGGGCGGGGACACAGTTGGGAACGAATACCTGTCTAGACTGGGAGTTCCTGCTCACAGGGGAAGATCTATATGACTCTGCACTTCCCTCCTTCATTGGAGCAGAGGGGCTCCAAGGAGACTCCGCCAAGGAGTGGACTTGTCTGTCTGCAGGCCACCCTAGTGTCCCACCTCCTTCCTGGATAATGAGCAGCACTGGCCTGTCCAATGACAGTGGTAGGACACCATTTGGCACCTGAACCCCACAGGGCAGAACTGTCCATTCAGAGAGTGGCCCTAGAGTAAAAGCTCTATGCCCCTAAATCTCTCCGATGGTGCCTTGTCACCAGCAGGGAAAGCCAGATGCCTGGGATCTGCTCTGACATGGGCTTTGTCCACTGAGTATTCCCCCCATTCTGTCTGCTGACCCTCTCATCCTCTCAACTCCTGGCTGACCCCTGCTCCATCTTCCAGGTCACAACAGATGTCACCTCCTCTAAGGAGCCTTCCAAACCTTTTCCTCTCTTGTTGACTGGTGGGTTTTCAAGGAAGCTGATCAGTTTGTAGAATGACTGAATGTAAGGAGCCCAGTCCAGACTCAGAAGCCATGGCCGGGTCATCACTGCTGGGCTGCTGCTTTAGAACAGGGCCCCAGGGCTCCCTATTCTGGTGCTCAAGCAGGTTAAGCAGAAGCAGTGCAGATGGGACACTGCCATCTGCTGGCTACAGGAGGCATCTGCACACCCCTGCTGCCAGGGGCCAGGGAAACAGCCACCCTTGCTTGCAGGCTCCAGCATGGCAACCTCCACCCCTGCCTGCAGGTACTACTTCCTGGTGTACAACGCATCAGTGCTCTACTGGAATATGGTGAGGCCATTTCTCAAGCCTGGATGTCACCAGCATGTGATCCCCAGCCTCTCCCAAATTGTCAACGTGTTAAATCAGACAGAGGAAGAAGACAAGGAGTGGAGAGCTGAGCTGATGCTGTGAGAGGGGTGCCTCACTCAGCCCTGACTGTCCTCAGGCTGAATGCTCTTGCTTTCTCTTCCATGGTTGGGACCGGGCTTGGGTCTTGTCCGAAGGTTGTTTCGGAAGTCTGTGGTTGACTCTTACTTGAATATTCCAGCAGACAACAGACAGGTGAAGGAAATGGGATCCCCTGGTTTTAAAATCTTACTGCAGTAAATTCTTAGCATCTTGGGTGTTTTACAGAATAGCTAAGCCAGGTGAGCAGGGCTTCCAGGTGCCTGGACACCCATGAAGGGGAGCTGAGGCTGTAGGATCTTGGCCCTGAGAAGTCACAGGGACAGACCATCAGCAAGTGCCTGGTCACCGTGCAGCTGGACCAAGAGGGGGTCTGTCAGAGGTTGTGTGTCAGGGAACTCTCTGTGCAGGCCAGGCTCCCACGGTGCCAGCGCCAGAGACTCCACATTCAAGTCCAAATCCACAGCCTGCAGGCTTTTGGTACCTGGGTGGCCGTTTGGGGAGCCTTTAAAAGAAAGAAGTCATGGAAAATGTCATTTTTAAATGTCTTTGGTAACTAAAATACCAGCAATTTCCTTTCCCCTTTGTTGCTGGTGCAGGCCCTCCCTGGTGAGCCTGGCTATGGCTTAGAGCTTCCCAGGGCCTCTTTCTAAAGTTTGTGAAACAGAAAAATTGCTAATGTATAATAACCTGGCTGATGGACATTTGCAAGAGGACAGTTTCAGCCCAGCTGAATGTCTCCTGCATTTCTGTTGTCCAGGGAACTTCTTGAGTGTTACCTGCAGGCTGGAAGGAAGGACGACGCCGTCAAGTTCTGCTCCACGGCGGCGCCCTTCATAAAAGCCAACGTGCCACACAAGTACCGGCACATCTTCTCAGTCATGGTAAGGTGGCAGGTGTAAGAGCACTTGGCTAAAGATCATTGCAGAAAAGTATGCATAAAACCACAAACAAGTCCATTAACTGAGAGACATGAAAACATACGTGAACGAAACAAACACAAGCAAAACGAGCTGCCATTCGTTCTGTGTGAAGGCACACATCACTTACTTTTGGAAAACAAAGCAAGATCTTTGCTGTCATTGTTACTAATACTTTTTGTAATTGGATCGAGTTTGTTTAAAGGTTAACAGAAAATGTGTAAAGATACAAATTACTACAGGACTGAGTCCTCAAAGTGTTCATTGGCTGTTAGTTTTAATGTATAAGAATCCACTTAAGTTATATCTGAAAAAGATAAAATTTCATTAGTGAAAAGATCTACCTTAATTGAAAAATTAATTTTATAGGAGGAATAATGAAGTAATTCCAAAACATGGAGTCTGAGCCGCTACCTAATTACTAGCTTGAATTAACGTTCTGCTCCATTTCGTGGCAGGTTCGCCATGAATTAGCGGACGTGCTTCAGTTAAAGAGAGAAAAGAAAAACTCCATCAGCCTGTCTGTGTCTTTCCACATTAACACTCTGAAAGCGTGAGTAGTCTGCGGACCACATAGCTCTAGCTTTCCCGGACAGAGTTCCATTCTGTTCCACAGAGGACTTGTCACCTCCACTGGGGACACTGTGTCAGTGGGTGCTTGGGGCTGCAGGAACAGGCCTAGGGAAGGCGGGACTGGTGGCCCTTAGGGGTCTCAAGCCACCCCCTGTCCTGCCTCCCCCATCACGGAGAAGACTGCCCAGTGGGGCCACCTGCAGGGGCAGCAGAGCTCCTAGCAGGCCCGCCAAGCCAGGCCCTCCCTTCTCACAGGTCTTGTAGATGAGGCTCGAAACAGACCAAGAGCTAAGCAATCCAGAGCAGATCCTGGGAAAAACACAGTGGGATGGGGCAAGTGAACAAAAGGACTTTGTGCCCCGAGGCTGTGCCGTGACCTGCCACAGCTGCTATGGCAGGTGGAGGGAGTCAGGAAGATGGACGTCAGAGTTTGTGTGCGTGTGTGAGGAGGCCACAGTGTGGAGGCTCAGGGGAGTGAGGTGGCAGCAGTGTGGAGGCTGGGGGCAGTCGGGTGATCTCGGGGAGCTCTGCAGAGAGAGGGAAGTGCTGGCCCCAGGTCTGGAGCTGTGAGAGGAGAAGGCTCTTTCCCTGCTGCAGTCCGGTGGGCAGGGGCTGTGCACTTTTCTCCGAGTTTTTCCTGCAGGACTGGGGAGAAAAGACTCCACCTGGGACTGAGGAATTGTGGGGAAGTGTGGAACAGGCCAGGATCTGGAGGAGGATGGACAGGGACGTTTTGCACCTCTGTTCTGTGGAATACATGGGTTCATCTTTCCCGTGGAATAATTTTCACAAATCTGACAGGACGTTTTGGCTATTTAGTGTTTGGATTAATTCTAGAAAATTGGATAAAAATGATTTGCCCGAAGACCTTGACTCTGTTCTGAAGAAGGCCTACAAACACCTGAGTCACTACAATCACCAGTGCTTCCCTTCCATCAGAGAGGAAAAGTAAGTGCTTGTCTTTCAGGTTTGAAATCTGTATTGGCAGATATCTACACAGCAGCCTGTGGGAGTTCAGGCACATTTCTCTCCAGGTTTGCACTGTTGGAGAGCTCCTGGGATTGTAGCCTCCTATGCTGCTTTGCAAAATCAAATTAACTTCTGCGTTGAAGAGCCTTACACAGTTTGTCAAGTAGAACATCTCTCTCTCTCTCTCTCTCTCTCTCTCTCTCTCTCTCTCTCTCTCTCTCTCGTTTTTGGTGGCGCTGGGGTTTGAACTCAGGGCATCCTGCTTTAGGCAGGTGCTCTACCACTTGAGCCGCTCTTCCAGCCCTGTGTGTGTGTGTGTGTGTGTGTGTGTGTGTGTGTGTGTTGGGTATTTTTGAGATAGGCTCTTGAGAACTATTTGCCTGGGGCAGGCTTTGAACCATGATCCTCCTGATCCTCTGAAGTAGCTAGAATTGCAGGTATGAGCTACTGGTGCCCAGCAACAAGTTTTCATAGGTTTTTTGGATTTACTGGGGTTTGAACTTGGGCCTCATGCTTGCTAGGCAGTGCTGTACTGTGGAGAGTTGCTTGTGAGAAGCCTATGAGGACAGAAGTGCAGTTGTACTCAGTGTTCTGCAGGCTGAGTTGGGCGCAGCCCCAGCCACTGAAGAGGGTGAGAGTAAGATGCAGAGCAGCTGCTTTTCCTAAGATGTTTGTGTCAAATAATCTGTAGGCTGAGATATGGCACAGCCCCAGCCACAGGAGAGAGAGAGAAGGCAAGATGCAGCTCAGCTGCTTTCTCCTCCCCGAGAATCATCGCTCCACTTCCTTGTTTACCACTGGATATAAAAGACACATTTTTGGATGAAGGGAGGCTTTTTGATGGGGAATGCATTTTGTTGGGGGTTTTTTGGCTGGAGGGAGATTGATGAAGGAGGACAATGAATTGTTGAAGGGAGAATTGCTGAAGGAGAATTGCCAAAGGGGAATTGCTGAAGAGGGGTTGATAGAATTGGTTGGAAGATTGTGAGGGAACAGCCGCTGTTGATTGTCTGCAAGTCTGACGGCCAAGACTTTAAGAAAGCTAAAGAGAGAACATGGGACAGTGCAAGTCTGATGGGACAGTGCAAGTCTGAGAGCAAAAACTTTAAGAGAGATTATGCTAAAGAGAACATGGGACAGAGCGAATCTAAGGAAAGAGACTTTAAAGAATAGAAAAGAAGACTTTTAGAAGCAAGGTTTTAAAGAATTGTAAAGGCGTAAGGCCTTAAAGAAAAGATAGAGAAAAGAAACAGATTAAAGAGAAGAGATTAATAGAGAGAAGAAGCTGTGTGCGTCTCCACCCTAGTGCCCAACACACCTGGCCCCACTTTCTGCCTGTCTGGCTGTCTATCCTTTGTCCTTTCTGCATCTCCCATAGCCCCCAGTTAGGCCCAGTTAGGTTTGGTAGTAACAAGGGAGCAAGAGAAAGCTCACTCCACACGAGCCACTCTGCCAGTCCCTAACAGTTGTCTTGAGCAGTGTCCAGGCATGAGCTCTGTTTCTGGGTTTCCAGAGTCCCTGGGCACTGGCTTGCTACGAAGAGTCCTGGGCTGGCCCCTGGAGTAAGGTGAGCAGGGGCAGAGCATCCCAAGGTGCTGGTCGGTCTCCAGCCCAGGAGCTGTTTTGTGGCATCCCCTGAGCACAAGACGGAGTAGATTTCCCATTGTTTTGGTTTTGTGAGGATTAACATTCAACAATTCTTGGAGCCTTTGGACCACCTCTTCTGAGAGTTTACCTTCTGGTTGCTCAACGATTTTCTCACCATCTGTGTATGAAGCACACTGACCCTTTGCTTGTGAGAACCGTTTTGAACAGGTTTCCATTTATCATTTGATCATGGACTTGGTGTCTCCAAAGTGACATGTTTAAGTCTCACGCTGGCCAGCTGGCGTCAACTTACTGGAAGCAGGGCCTTTGTCGATTTAAGTGCCGATGGGGTCATGCTGAATGACTGTGGGCCTAACTCCCAGGACACAGAGACACACACACAGGGAGAAGACTGTGGGACCGTGGAGGTGAGACTCAAGCTGCAGGCGTGAAGGGTTGCTGGCTGGCACCAGAGGCTGGGGAGGCCCTCGGTGGGGGGGGTCCTCCCCTGACCTTCAGCAGAGTACACTGAGGGACACCTGGCTTTGAGATCCAGCCTTCAGGACTGACAGAAAGAAACATCTATTGTTTAAGCTTCTCAGATTTGGTACTTTGTTATAACAGCGCAGGAAACTGATCCAGGTGCATGCTTGTTGACTGTGATAAATGACCACAAACTCCACAGATGAAAACAAGGCTGGGTCCACAGGCAGGGATCCCACTCAACTGCCGGGACGGTGTCTGCTGCCTGGTCTCTCCTGGCTGGGCTGGGAGGATCCAGTTCCTTGTGGACCAAGGGACACCCAGTGTCTCCCTATGACAGCTTGCCTTACCAGAGACATCCAGAGCGAGAGTTGCGTGCAGCCAAGGACAAGGTCACCACACGTGGAATGGAGGGCTCAATGGTAGACACAGTCCATGCAGAGTGAGAGGTGCAAGGGGAGCCCAGAGTCCCAGTGCCCCGTCACTGGAGGGGAGCTGAGCAAGGCGAGCGCTCGTCTGCACCTGGGCTCTTCCAGTGCTCTGCTGTGTCAGTAGCCACGCGCCGGGAGGAATGAGAGCGCACACATCCGTGTACACATGCGTGTGTGTTCCTGGAAGGAAGGCTTCATCTTCTATCACATTCTCCAAGTTGTTCTAACTAAAGCCAGGCCGAGCCAAGCCACGGCGCCTGTCCTTGGCTGGGCTCTGGGCTGGGGTCTCAGGTGGTGTGAACAGACCCTTCTGAGGCCCGTTCATCACTTTGGGGAAATTCCTAGACACTGTGCAGTGAGAACACAGCGGGAGCTTGCCTCTACCTTGAGGACCTCTGAGCCCATAGGGGACGTGCCAGGTCACACCCATGCTGCGTTCCTCTGACCACTGATGGACTGAACATAGTTTTTACTTATTTATGAGCACTTTCCCTTCAGTTAATTTTCTGTTCCTTTAACTTGATTTTTAAAACGTGGGGTATGAAGCACTTACAACTGAGTACGCGTTAAGATTTGAGCTCTGTAACTCTACATATCAACAAATTGTCCCAGCTTACAGTTTACTCTTTTATAACTTCTCATGTACAGAAGTGTTACATTTAATATAAAAATAATGTAGGCTAACAGTCACTCCCACCAGTTCTGGGCTAGACGCTGTCTTCGGTCTTTCACGTGGGTGAACTCTACTACTAATCGGAGCCACAGTGGACACCTGGAGGCCCTTGCTGTCCTCAGGAGTCGCCTTTGGCCTGGTTCTCCTCTATCTGAGGCCTTGCTAGGCCTCCCCACCTCCAAGTGGGTGGATGGCCTCTGCCTCTAGTGTGTCCGGGGCTTCACTTTTGTCTGACTCCAGCTCCCATGCTCTGTGTCCCTCCTCCCGGCAACCCTCACGTACAGCCCAAGCTGCCTTCTGGTGAATGCCAGGTCCTTCCCACAGCCCGAGTCCCCTGGGACTCTGTTGACACCTTGCCTGGACTTCCATGTCTGCCACTCTGAGTGGGGAAAGAAACTTTCTGTTTGGCCTAAAACCCAGCAATTTATCCTTTCACAATTCTCTCTTGACCTGTCCAGCAGGCCTGTGTGGCCAGAGCTCAGGTGGGACAGAGAGGCCAGAGTTAAGGCCAGGCCTCTGGAGATCAGAGCCTGAGGGGCAGGCAGAGCAGGGACAGGGCAGCAGAAGGACCCTCACCACTTCCCACAGTGGCCTCCTGCCTTAATCAGCCCAAGGTTGGTGAGAGGAAAGAGGCACCACCAAGTGCCATAGCTGTGACTCTGTGGGCCGTTGTGTTTGTGATATCACCCAGAAAGGCAGAGGAGATGTGGGCCAGCCCGCCAGGGACACAGCAATGTCTGGGACACTTTGGTAGCCACTACTGCGGAGGCTGCTGGCATCTGGTGGGAGCAAGCCGCAGTGCAACAGACGTAGGACAGCCTCCAGCGGACAGAGTGGAACAGAAGGCAGGGGTGAGGCTGAGAAGCCCTGGCCTCTATGTACACTTCACTCTCCATTCCTACAGCCTCACGAGGAGTCCTGAAATAAAGGGTGGCGTCCTTTCCTCCACCCGCTTGGCTCTTTTTCAAAGTGGTTTGGCCATCGTAGGCCCCTGCACGCCTATAAACATGTAGGTTTACCATCAGCCAACTGATTGCTACCAAGAGACACTGGTTGGTGACAGTGAATGTGCTGTCCTGGTAGAAAGGCCTTGGGCTACATCAAGTGGGTCATGACCCACCTGAGGGCCTCACTCCTAACCCAGCTGCAGGTGTGGGCAGTGACAGCGCCTCATAGCAGCCATGCAGAGCAGTGCTGGTGACCACCCGGTGTGGCCTTGTGCCTCCCTGGGATTGTGCTGGCCTAAAGACCTGGGCCTGAAGGTATGGACACAGCACTGAGTGCTGTGAGGCCCTGCAGCACAAAGGAGGGCAGGGACAATGCACAGGGACTTGTAGCTGGTTAGTCGTTTTATTTCATTATTTCTGTCATATTTTAGCTTCCACTTGTTATAACAGAGTCCAGCCATTGGCTCTGCTGCACGGGTGCACTTTTCCTGCCCCTACTGAGCCAATGCTTGTTTGCTTCTTTCTTTCCAGAATACTTTTGCTTTTTGAATTAGCTCGTCTTTCTCTGACCTTGAAATGTGAGGAGATGGTCTCTAATTGCATCTTGGACCTGAAGAAAATTGAAAGCAAAGTAAGTGGCTTAATGACAATTGTCACCAAGGGAGGCTAGGAGCAGCTCACAGAACCATGACCTGAGGGCTGCAGAATTTTGTTTGTGAGAGACTGAGGTTTGAACTCAGGGCTTTGCACTTGCAAAGCAGGTGCTGTACTACTTGAACGACACTTCCAGTCCATTTTGCTCTGTTAATATATAGTCTCATGAACTATTTGCCTCAAGCCACAATCCTCCCATCTCAGCCTCCCGAGCACCCATTTTTGTTATGTTCCTTGGTGCATCTAGGGTCAGAGTTGTCACACTGGCTGGTGCATAGGTCTTCCAGCTGACTGCCTGCTATATCATTACTGTTGGCTGTCTTCATGCTCAGTGTGATGAGTGCACTGTTGTTTATTGTCCTTCCCTATTGAAATGCAGCCCCTTAGACAATGGGGCATGTCTGATATGCACCCCATTTCACCCCCACTTCCTGGCGTAATGCCTGGCCCTTAAGTGGTGCCCAGGAAGCATCTGTGATTGGGTAAAGGCCACATATTTCCACCTGTCTGAAGGGTGCACAGCCAGGTTCTGGGGCCTGAAGCTCCTTCCTTGTATGTCTTCCCCACAGGGCTGGCCCACAGCTGAGGGGTCCCAGAGCCAGGCCACACCCAGAGATCAGCAGGGAGAATAACACCAGGTGGAAGAGCAGCATAGTAGGGAAAAGTAGGGATCGATTCCCAGCTCTGAACCTCAACATCAGGCATTTTGGCGCCCCCCCACCCCCACACACACACTTGGGAGATTGTAGCATGAAAATAAAAACAAATGCACAATTTGATAGGGCTGTCCAGAAATAAGTGAGTCTTCCCCAAACAGGGAAGTTGTATAAAGTGCCATATTCACACTGCATAGACTCCTGCTTCTGAACCAGATGGTGTAGAAGGAGCCACATTTGCCCTCAAACCTGAAGCAACACAAACAAAATATGAACAACTATGATTTTCAACACTCTAAACAATAGATCATGAAGGAACTGGAGGGGGTAAACAAGTGGGATGAGTCCTGTGATGCCTGGCCATCTGGAGCTTGAGGACTGTGGCAAGTGGAAGGGACCTCAGGTGGAGCCTGGAAATTAACCTGGTGGCCAGGGGGAGATGATGCAGCTGCAGGTATAGGACAGAGGACTAGGGAGGAGTGAGTAGCACATTGAGAGCTCCAGGGTCTGCAGGTGTGCTTGAATCTCCAGCTGAGCTTGGGTTGCACATGCACTGAGGAGACCCCCACACTGGGGAGGAACCTCCATCTGGTGAAATGAAACCAGGGGACACTGCAGATGTCACACAGCAGGAATAGTTTCTGTCCCCAAGCAGTGTGCAGAAATTCTGGAGTCTCAGGGAGACTCAGAAGAGAGTTGTCTCAGCAACAGAAAAAAGTTATCAACATTCTGATTGTGCATATCAAAGGTTGAAAGCAAGACTAGAAATGCAACCTTTTTCCAAGTAATACAGTTGAAGACCAGGACAGTTACCAAGAGTATAAGAATACAAAAATCTACAGCATGCAATGATGTAAAAATTAAAACTTAGCAGACATGAAAAGAGGCAGGAAATATGATATATTCTGAAGAGATGAGCAGTCAATCAAAACCAACCAAGAGTTGATGCAGATAATAGTAGCTGACACAGATGTGCAGTTTTTATAATTGTGCTCTGGACATTCACAAAGGTAGTAGGGAGACTGAACATTTATGTTAGCTAGAAACATGGAAGGCACATGCAGCACCCAAACTGAAGTTCTAGAGATGAAAACTACACTGCTGAGAAGAAACTACACCAGACAGAATTTAAAGCAGGTTAGCCATTTTAGAAGAAAAGCTGAGCAAACCTGAAAATGGTGGAATGGAAAGGTCCCAAAATGAAACACAGAGGAGTGTGGAGACAATGCAGCAGCTTCCAGCAGAAGGATATGCTGTGCTGTCCCTGGAGGACAGGATGGAAAGGGGAAATGGAAAATAACTGAAGAAATGATGGCCCAAAATGCTGGATTTATGATCTTCATGAAGGAAGGAAAAAGGAGCATCCTGTATGAGGAGCTGGATAAGAGCGAGAGCAGATTTCTTGCTGGACACAATAAGGCCAAAAGACAAAGGTGCCTTTAAGATACAGACCAAAAACAACCAGCCAAAAATCTATACTGAGAGAAAATGCCTTTCAAAGCCAAAGGAAATATTTTAAAGAGTTTAAGATTTATTAAAATACAGAGAAGCAGAAAGGGTTTGACCCCCCCACTCACAGAAATTGTAAATGAAATTCTTCCAGCAAGACACAGCAAGAAGGAACCCTGCAGAAAGCTGAGTGTGTACAGAGCAGAAGACAGGAGGAGATAGTTGACTGCTTAAATGAAGACAATGGGGTGTCCTGTGGGGTCGTTGGCAGGTGGAACAAGGTGTGTACCCATAGCAGCAGAATAGCAGGAGCAGAGATGACCTGTGCTGGCATACTGTTCATGGTGCTTGTGCACTAGAGGGGGTGCACCCATTCTGTGGGGTAGACTCTGGTGAAGAGATGGCAGGCACCATATGCCCTGAAGCAGCCTCTGGAGTGACATCAGAAGGAGATGCAGCCAGAAAACTAAATGAGGAGATGAGGGCCTAGTAGGCATGAGCTCCATCCCCAGCACCACAAAAAAAGAAAAAAGAAAGCTGATGGAATGGAGCCATAGCAGATAATCAGTTAATTCAAGAAAAACAGAAGAGAAAAAATAGGACAAGGAAAAGACAGAACAAACAGCAAATATCAATGGGTATATTCGATCTGAATCCAGTTGTGCCATAATTGGAGTAAATGTAAATCTCCTAGATATCCCAACTAAAAGGCAAATACTGTCACACTGGAGAAAATCAGGTCCCAAATCCATGCTGTCTACAGGAGCCCAAGTTCAGTGAGACACTGTGGACTGAAAACCCAGGGTGGAGAGGAAGCTGCACTCACCTTGGCAAATGGCACCTTCTGATCTGCACTCCACAGTGTGTGAGTAATGACAGGGAGGGTCATTTCATGAGGCAGAAGGGGTCACAGCAGAGAGGAGGCGGCAGGTTTCAAAGCTTGTATACCTGTAACCATACTTCAAAATAAATGAAGCAAGACTGATAGAGAGCTGTGAGGAAAACTAGATTGAATTCAAAATTAAAGTCAGTGCTTTTGACATTCTTTCCGAATGATTGCTAGAATAGGTAAACGGATATAAAAATATCAGAGAAAATGTAAAAGGCTTGGGGTACTGACCTGACCTGTGGCAGCTTTAAAGCACACACTCCAAACAGGGGATACACCATCTTCTCAAGTGCTCAGAGTGTTTGCTGAGACAGACTACATAACAGGCTAACAAAAACCACATAAATCTAAAGGTATTCACTGACCAGCATGAAATCAAATTTGAGGTCAACAGCAGAAAGATATTAAAAATGTCAAATATTTGAAAACTAAGCTAGATGCTTCTAAATGTGCAGAAAAGTGTAGTTAGTTCAACTCGTTTCCACGAGTCAAAGAAACCTTCAGAATGAGATTAGAAGGTATTTTAAGCTGGGTGAAAATGAAAACACCTGTAATGATTTATGGGAAACCTTTAAAGCAGGATTTGGAAGAAGGCAGTTGAGCTTGGCTCCCTCTTAAGAAACCAAAAAGAGATAGCAAAAGAAAACCAAAGTGAGAAGTGTGGAGTGACAATATTCAGACAGAACTGCATAAAATGGGAACCAGACCAATAAAGAAGCTCAGCGAAATCAAGGTGCTTTGGGAAAAGCCAATATCACGAGACAGAGCAGAGGTGGAGAGAGATGCATTATTAGGAACTTGACCTAGTGCTGCAGAGAATCCAGAGTTACTGAAAGCATAAAAAGCAGGTGCTTCCCGTAAGCTTGAGGATACGTGGATGGCAAAAACATCAAAAAACCTACACGCGAATGGAAAGAAGATGAACATCACTTCCTGCCAAGCTTACCACACCCCTGCCAGAATGGCTGAAAGTTAGACTTGTCCACGCCACGTGTGGGTGAGGATGCAGAGAGACCTCGGACCTCAGACTCCGCTCGAGGGAACATAAATGAGCAGTCTGGCGATGGTGCAAGGCCCAGGCCTCCCGCCTCCATGCAAACGCTCACACACGGCATTCGGCTTCGCCTGTAATGGCCACCCAAGCACTGGCAGTACCTGTGACGACGAAGTCGCGACAGCAGATAGCGGAGTGCCCCGAGCAGTCACAGGCCCCCGCTGGCAAGGGAGCTAGCTGCATGTGGATGAGTCTCTAAGTGATTGCGTGACTTGGAGGGCGAGGCAGAGGACAGTGACTGCAGCTCCGTGAGGCCTGGTCACCCACTCCCTGGGTTTGTGCAAAAGCAGATCAGCTGGAGAGCTGGAGAGCTGGGCGGGGAGGGGCAGGGTCAAGGGAAACAGGCCAGTCGTGGGTATGCCTCGGTCTCCATCATAGGAGGGTCTCCAGGAGCGTCAAAGCTTGCCAATCGTGCACTTTACCCGTTTGCAGCTTACTGTACATGAGTTACACTTTAACAAAGCTATTTAAAAAGACTCGCCAAAAAATCGACAGATGAAAATTGCCAGTTGAAATGGAAATGAGTTTTCCAGTTAACTTGCCGGAGCCTCGTCTGGCTTGGGCAGTGTACAGAGGGGCCTGTATGTCACTACAGTGCCTCCTTGTTATTCAGAAGCTAGAACATGGCCCCACTGAGCTATGAAAAATTCAGGAACTCTCTGGCCACGTGCCTGCTCATAACCAACCGCTTACCGGTTCACCGGGTGGGTCCCGGGACAGGCCCACACCAGGAATCCTGCGGTGCTCACGGTGGTGAGAAGGTAAGGAAGTCACCTCCCCAGCCCAGGCCAACTAGGGACCCAAGGGCAGGGGATCCCACACCAAATCCCAGAGCTCTTGCTACTTGATGCCAGGATCCCAGGCTCAGATGAAATAAAAGATAAAAGAAAATCATGTTTGCTAAATTTCAGAGGACAGTTATCTAAGTTGGCTTGATTATTTAAAAATTCAAGGTCCACTGAAATTAATGAGCTTTTCTCCCTGTGTTAAAAAGGTGAAAAAGAACAATCGGCATTCTCACTTACGCCTTTGCATCTTTTGGAAACAGGAAACTTTGCCTATGCAACTTGGTCCTCACCACGCTTTTCACTTGCTGAATTTCTACCTAGTACATTAGTGCTGCTGCAGAACGGTCTTGTGGTTAACGAATTTTCACACTGGCTTTCGTTAGAAGGTTCCATGTGTACAAAAGCCGTTTGTATTGACAGGATCCTGGGAAACTGATTGAGATCGAATGTCTGGAGTGTGAATTGGAAGCTTTGCGACTTGAAAGTAAAGTTAAAGTCTACATCCGCACAGCCGTGGAGGTAAAGCCCTAACCTTGAGTCACCATACACGTGGTGTTGTTCTGCAGGTTTCTTGGGACTGGGGAGTGTGGAGGTTGTGCCGGGCTTGAGCGTTCTGAGGATGTGACGTGGGCCCTCCTGCTGGACTCTGTGCTGGTGCCCTGGGCAGGGGGTGTGGCCAGCTGTGACACTTCCTCACCAGGAACTGCTGGGCCTGAACACTTGAAGGACAAGGCTGAATCATAGCAGAGGACCTGGGGCACCCACAGAGTTCTCTTGCTTCCTCACCGGTCTGGCTGGAAGCAGACTTGCTCAGTGTCCCAGGCACAGTCACTGAGCAGGCAACTTCTTTTGCAAGGTAGAATTGCAGACACTGAAAAAGCAGATCCAGAAATCACATAGACTATTCTTCAGTAGGAATTTTGCAATTAAAAAAAAAACCTTATTGAAACAGATGATATCAAGTATCCCTGATAGGCGCTGAGGCGACCCTCCTGGCATGGTTCCTAACAGAGGCTTCTGTGCTGAGGTGAGGCCTTCATCATACCTGTCTGCAGGGTCACAGCCAGCCTTGGCTACTCTGGCCTGCCTATGCTTGGGAATGCCCTGCAGGTCATTTAGTATAGGGACATGGGAGGGAGACAGGGGTCCTCAACTCCACATCCAACTCTCTCCATCCTTGGCTTGCATCACCCGTGGTGGATATCTGTGCCTTTCTGGTCTGCCTGTGTGGGGCCAACACCCTCAGGGAGATTGTTGACTGCTGGCTTGCTACCTGTGCTGGAGCCGAGCGTGTGGTGGTCAGCTAATAAATGTTGACTTGAAAGCTGATTGACAAGGACACGTGGGCTACCACATTTTGTGTTGAGACTGCAGTGGAGACTGGCTATGAATATGGAGCTGTGGATTGCACCTCTGCCCATGAGGACTTCAGTGGCTGTGCCATTGGTTCCTGACAGACTTGCCTTAGATCTTAGCCACCAGACAGGGTCATGAGTCCCCAGTGCAGGCTCAATCCCCTAGTTCAGAAGCAGCATGAGGGCAAAGCCCCTGGGTGCCAGGGGGACATGGCCAAGCGTAGCACAGGTGGGGTGGCTTCAGTCTGGTTTGAGGCAGGCTTAGAGCATGGTGAGTCTTGTCCACAGTCGTGAAATTCCAAACCAGAGCCTTTTTGCTGGGAAGGCTGCATAGCACACACCAGAGATGTTCTCTGAGTACTAACAACCAGGGATGTAGATAAAGAGGCAAGATCAAGACAGACTCCATCTGTCTCCAAGAGACATGGTGACCTCTAGACACTTCTAAGCCTTTTAGGAGAGTGTCCTGGAGGCATCCGCTCCCTTCCACGAAGGGTCACTCTGCCTTTCTCACAGGCACTTCAAGCCACACCCAAGCACGTGGTCCATCCTGCTGCCCTGTCCTCCCCTCAGTGCCCGCTGTCCCAGGTCATGATGTGACCATGCTGGTAACCAGCGCCGGCCTTACAGCCCTCACAGATGGCTCATTGTGTCCTCTACAGGCCCTGTTGAGCATCATCAAGAGGCTGGACATGGCACTGCAGCGTTCCATCCGACTGGGGACCCCCGGGCCATCCATGTGGTGTGCACCACGCAGTGGAACACCTGCCTGCCCCTGCTGCAGCACAGCCTGCGGTACCACCTGCGGAAGCCTCTCACCAACATCGCTGAGATCCTGGAGAAGGTGGACAGGTGGGCGCACACCTGTCCTGCAGGGTCCCCACAGGCCGGCAGAGAGGAGGGCAGGGCAGAGCTCTTCTGTGCTGCAGATGTGGGTAGAGCCCAGCTTCCACTGTCCCCGTGGCCACACCGCCTGCTCTTGAGCCCACGGAGTGCAATGTCCTTTTGAGCCCACTCAGTGATGGCTTTCAGTCACATCAAGGGTCCTTTCCTTGTTATGGTTAGTATCCCTTGGGACAAATACTCAACATTGTCTTTACCTGTTGATGGACATGGGTTAAGATAAGCTGGAAAGGAAGCTGCAAATTCGTCTTCATAGCAGCCATGGAGGTGTAGTAGATGCACCGCCATTTTGAGAGAGACCCTCTTCCCAGTAGCCCCCTGCTCACACCACACCCTGGGAGTCCAGTCGCTCCACAGCCTCAACACAGTATTATCGATCGGTGAACTCCAGCATTCCTGTAGGGATGCACCTGCATTTCGCAGTAGACGCTTTTCACTTCCCTGAGACCTAGGGTGAGCACCTTTCCTGTGCCTCCTGGCAGCCTGAGTGACACGCCTGCTCAAAACTTCTGTCTCTGGAAGGTTTGACACCCAGGTCCTGCTGGTTTTATAAAACGGGTTGCAACATGTCTTTCTGAAATCATTTCTCAAGAGATTTTGTGGACTATTTGCCATTTTGCCCCAAAATATTGGATAGAATTCAACAACATAGTCATCTGGGCCTGGAGGTTGCTTCATCTTGTTCCTTTTGTTCCATGGGGGGGTCTTCTGTCTGAGACACCCCTCACCTGTGCTGAGGCTCAGGAGGGAGCCCTTTGTCCCAAAAGGACCCCATGGCTTTTCCCAGTACACCCCCCCCAACTCCACGATCGTGTGGCCCCATCTTCTACGTCCTGGTCTTTATCTGACAGCTGTAACAGTTAGAGAACAATGGCTTTTCCAGATGTGGGTGGAAGCATGGTCGGCCCCTCCCTCCCTTAGCCGTCAGGGTACAGCTCTGGTAGATGCCTCCCCTGGAAGTCTCCAGCATTTGATGTGAATCCTACCATGCCGGCTCCGTGCACCTGCTGTTTGTGTGGCATATCTGTTTCTGCCCTTGAACACTGACCCTATTTGTTCCTTTAATTGAGAAAACATTTGTAAGCACGTCTTTTAGACAGTACGTGGGTGAGTGTTGCTTTTCTGTCTAATATGCTGGCCTCTGCTTCCAAGCAAACACCTTGTTGGGTGCTCTCCATGCCCTCTGCTCCTCAGCCTGCCGATGCTCCCTTCTGCCTCCCCTGGGGCTGACTGAATGTCCTGAGTCCTACTGCATTTCCTCTGTTGGCTTCTTGGCATCTCCACTGCACAAGCAGTGGCAGGGAGCTTCCTCAGCACAGAGCCACACTTCCTTCCTGGCACAGTCTGTGCAAGGTCACTCGGCACTCCCTCTTCCCACCACAGGGGTGCAGACTTTGTGTACCCCACACTCTTTCTGTACCCATTGCTGGCTGATCTTCTACTGCAGGAAAACAAAGGCCTCTTGTATTTCCCCATCTGTGCCACGTTCAAGGTCTCCTCTCTCTTCTCTGCAGAGCAGAGCCTAAGGACCCTCCTTCCCATCTTCCTGGGGATAAGGATGCAGCTCTGCTGATCTGAAACGACCCACTTCATCCCCAATTTGGATAATATTTTCATTATTACTGAAGGCTGGGTTGGCAGGTTCTGTTCTTTAAACACTGAAGTTGGTTTTTCTCCTTATGGCCTCCATGCTCTCTGATGAAAAGTCAAAGTCTTTTAACCATGGTTTCCATGTGCATCTTTTTCTTCTTTTCTGTTTTGAAGTTTGTATCTCTGATTGTTTGATTTCAGTGTTTTGATTGTGATATTCCTGGGAGCCTGTTTATTTTAATTCTGTGTGGGGTTGTCTAAGACACTTGGGTATGTAAATGAAGCTTCTGTCAGATTTGGGGGATTACTAGATATTCTTCAAACCCATTCTTCTCTTCCTCTGGACACTGGCTGCACATGTGCCAGAATGTGGGATGTCCTCCAGCTTCCCGGTCAGTCCTGTTTATTTATTTGTTCGTTTAGTTTTGAAACTTCCTCTCTGGTAGGAAGTTTCACCGGTGCTTAGGTTCCCAGGCTCTCTTTTTGCTGCTCCAGCCTCCTGTACACTCAGCCAGGACCTTTCTCCTTCCGCTTACTAAGTTGTTAGCTTTAGTATTTTCATTTTCTCTGGTTCCATTTCTCTACTCGTTAATACCCTGTTTCTTCCTCCATTTGTGAACACGTTTATGATACTTATATGGTAACGTCTCCCTTAAAGGATTGACCGAGTGAGTCCAAAACCAGACCACCTGTGCCCTGACTATGGGTGGCGTTCTTCTATTGGCTTGCATGTCTTGTGATTTTTTTCACTCGATTCTGAGCATTGGCGGTGATATCCTGAAGAGTCTTTTCATTTTGTTACCTTTTTCAGAGAAATGTGGGTTTTGGTCAGGGCCAGCTGGCTGCGTTGAAATCACAGAGGGTTCTCTGTTCTGCTCGGCTGTATTTCTAGAGGTCGAGGGTGTTTCCCAAGCCCAGCCTGGTGGGATTTAGCCTCCAACGCCATTCCCCCTACAGCTTTCTCCAGGCTGTGGCCTGAGTTTTTGCTTGAGCAGAGGTTTGGATGGTCCTCACTTCCCTGCAGCCCCGTGCTCTGACCCCTGCCAGTTCAGCTTGGAGGATGCTGGGCTCTACCTGCTCTGTGACCACCAGGGAGATCATCCATCACCAGCTCCTTCCTCAGTTTCCTCCTCCTGGGGTCTGCAGTCTTGTGCTGCCTCTTATCTATGCCTGGAGTAGCTGCCCCACGTGTAGTCTGGTTTTGTGAGTGTGTGATTGTCAGTCAGGGTGGTCCATCAGGGTTTACGTTGTCATTGTTAGAAGCAAAAACAACTAAAACAATATGAATCTGAAGGCCTGCCAGCTGGCCAGTCCCCCTGCTGGGGAGGCTGTGGACTCTGGTTTGTGAGTCTTCTGGCTATGCCTGCTGGGCTCCTCTCTGTGTGCAGCTCCTGGCCCCTCAGTCACCCTCCTGGGCCATCCAGATCTAGGTGACTCTTATGTGGTGGGATTCAGGGTGCATATTGCCTGCTGTCCAGGTGCTGCACTGTACCCAGCTGGACACCACTCCCACCTTAGCTGGCTTCTTCATCCCTGACTCCAGGTCATCAGAAAGCAGCTTAACTTTGACTGCCTTCTGGATAACGGGTAGTGTCTGTGGGCCCTGCTTCCCTGGCTGGAAGCATAGGCCTCACCTTGGCATTTATCAGAGTCCCTCCTACCTTGCCTTCAGCTGCAGTCATGGTGCCCCAGGCTCTTGGCTCCTTTGGGCTGCAGAGCTCAAGTTCCTGACACCATGGGTTTCTCTGAATGGCCTCAAAGTCTTGCTTCTTTTCTCTGAGGTTACACATGTGTCCATGTCACTTTCACTTCTCTGCCATGGTGGAAAGTCATGGCTCCTACAGAATCTTCATTCAGCAGAGTCTGTGGGGTGCATTAATGCTGTGCCCTGAGGCAGTGCTTAAGGCGGCCTCTCCTGTGCTGTCCCCAGCCAAGACTTTGCTCAGACACAAGGGCTTCGCCAGCCCCACCCAACCCCAACACAGCCTCAGCAGCAGCAACAGCAGCAGTTGGCCCACAGGGGATGGCCAGGCATTCTGGGCAGTTGGCCAGTGTGTCTCCAGAACAGCCTGAGCAATGATGGAGCTGCAGGTTGGAGAGATGGGGGTTCACAGAGCTGTGTTGCACCTGCCATGGTAGTGGCTCCAAGAGCCTCCTAGAAGAGAGGGGTGCATCATGGTAGTTGGGGTGGAGGTGTGAGCAGCCAGCTGCATGGTCCTATGCATGCTGGGCCCACCTGGTCCTGTGTCACAGCAGTTGTCACTGGCATTGACCCTGCTTTGCCACCTGCTGCTTCTCAACCTGAACCCAAGGCCTGGTAGCTCTTGCCAGATAGGCTCCAGTTGTCTGGAGGGATTGTCGCCATCCCTCTGTCCTCCTTTGTGAGGCCTCAAGACAAGGCAGGGTGTGACAGGAGGGATGTTGGAAAGCCTCCTGGGTGACCAAGCCATCCCCTGCCTCCTGCTGGAGGGCTGGACACAAGCCCCATATGCCTGCCAGGCAGGCAGCCTTGCAGGGCTCCTAACACATGTCCCCATCTCCAGCCTCATGACCCTGCTACGCTGTCAAGTGCACATGGAGCTGGCACATATTGAAGAAGACGAGGACCGTCTGGAGCCTGCCATGGAGCACCTGCGGAAGGCCATGTGCCTGGATGGCCTGCACCTCTACCAGGACAAGCTTGAGACGGCCTTCAACCGGCTGAGCCTATGCACCATGCTGTACCAGTCCCCTGAGCGCGCCGAGGACAAGGCTATCATGGCCATTGAACAGGTGCAGGGCCAGGCCATCGTGGGGGCTTGCCACTTTGAGAGGAGAGATGGAAGGGGGCCAAGGGGGACCCTGGGGCTAAGGGGGACCAGAGGCCATGCAGACCCAAGCTCAAGACCTGGGCTAAGCTGTGGGGCTCTGCGGGGAGGGAGCTGTCCAGGGCCCACCAGAGGGCAGCTGTTGTGCTATGGGAAGAGACCACAGGGCACCTCTCCTGAAGGCCCAAGGACAAGAGTTCTCAAAAGTCCTGGGGCAGGGGCTGTCTGGGACCTTGTTCACTATACTACCTCTTCTTTTTGCAGGCCAAAAAAGCTATCCTGAAAGACAATGTCAGGAAGAAGCGGGCGCTCCTGGTGAACGCGGGGCTGGCCCTTGCCCCCGACACCTTCCAGGTTGTGCTGGACAGTGAGAACGAGGCCAAAGGTAAGCAGCACACTCTGCTCCAAGAGCCCAGGACATTCCTGCCTTCAGAGGCTCCTCCGCTGCTCAGGAGCCACCCTGGGCCTGTGCTGTCTTGAGGCCACCACTAGATAAGGATGAGGACCATACAGGGCTTGCCTGCAGGTCTGAACCTGTACTTGGCCTTGCCAACCTCAGCCATGACACATTGTCCTGGTCTCCGGAGGTGCTGGGGAAGCTTGTCTCTACTCCTTGCTGTTTGTTGGTGCAGGATACCACAGCTCAGGGTTTAAGCAGCAAGTCTGTTTTCTCACCATTCTGGAGACCAGAAGTCTGAGGGGCAGGTGTGGCAGGGCTGATTCCTTCTGAGGCTCCTCCTTGGCTGGTAGATGGTCATCTTCCTCTTGAGTTATCACTGGTGTTCCTCTGCCTATCTGTCCTAATATCCTCTTCTTACAAAGATCCCAGTCAGGGCCACCTAACTCTCTTCTATCTACCTCTGTTCTGACCCCATCTCATGGAGTTTTGAGGTCCTAAGGGCAGATTTCCAACATAGTCTCTCTGGGGACAAGTTCAGCCCACAGCATTGCCTGAGGCATAAGGACAGTGGCCCTGGGGCTGCCTGTCTGTTTTTGATACCCCATGGGTCAAAGCTGAGTACATTCCACTCACCTGAGCCATTTCCTTTGCCCCAGGGAGTCTCCTAAGTCATTCCCTATGGAATGCAGGGCTGCACTGCCACCAGCTCTGGCTGCTGAACCCAGATGTCCGGACGGTGCCTGTCATACTTGTCATTTCTCTTGGTCATTTTGAGCCCTGTGGCTTCATCTCCATCTTAAGGCGTCAGGAGCAACTGTATATCTGTTAGCATCACCTAGATGCAACTATTTTGCTTTCTTGATTCATTTCATTCAGTGGACATGAATGGCTGACCAGGTGGGGTCAGGTGGGCCTCCACCCGAGGAGGCAGGACTAAGGCACCTACACCGGGCACCTACACCCTGTAGGAGATGCTGGTCCCTGCAGGGATCCCAGGGGAAAGATGTCTGAGTAGTTTTGCAAGTGAACACCTGTGCTGTCTGAGAGTGCAGGAGAGGGTGGGAAGCCAGTCCAGGGGAGGCACATCCTTCAGGCCTCAGCCTACCATCCAAGGTCTCGTGTGACTGGCCCAGACCAATGCCCACTGTGTCCCCAACAGCTGCACGAGGCAGCTGCCCCTCAAGTAACATTGAGCTCTGGAAAGGAAGTCGTGAGTTCAGAACTTCTATGCCCAGCAGACGGGACTGCCTGGGGTGAGCAGTGGGCACTGCCAGGAGGCCAGGGTGAGAGACAGGCCAGAGGCCTCGGCTTCTGATTGAAAGACTGGCTGAACAGCTGGACAAAGCAGACAGTGATTAAGTTCTAAAACAGGCCATCTCTGCATACCGGAGGTGTCACACACTCCACATTAACTCGACCTGATCGCTGTCCCAAGACACAGCAATGCACCATGAGGGGCTGTTCACATCTCTGGGACAAACTCAGCTCCTGGAAGCCCAAAGCTGCCCTCACCGGGCCTGTTTGCCATTATCAACAGTGTCCTCACCGGAACACAGCGGCCCTCTCCCCGTCACTGGATTGCTTAACACGCCATATCCATGCTTACATTTTGTTTTCCATTTTCAGTTTCTACTGGGAAAATCCGGGGCCGGTTCACCTATCTGTGCGCAAAGGCACGCCACTACATGTTCAGTGTGGACAAAGCTGCTGGGCACCTACGGCGTCTGGGGAACGAGAACGACAGAGAAAGGTAAGGAAGGGACAACACCAAGAGCCACTCAGCTGGAAGTCCACCACCTGACAACCTTCACCTGGGGCCCAGCTGAGGCCCCAGGGCCTATGTGGATATGCACAGGCTGATGTCTCTGTGTCCATGCCAATGGGCCTGGCCCTGTAAGAGAAAGCGTGGCCCCTGTGGCAAAACCCAGGGGACCTGCCCCTCCCCTCACCCAGGTGGTCCCTCCCCTCACCCAGGGGATTGAACTGTGTGGGGCATTTCTATTGTCACGATGATGGGGAGGTGCCACTGGCCCCAGAATAATGGGAACCAGAGAGCTGCACCTAACTCTGGCCCTCACCACTGGGCCCTGACTCCTGCATCCACTCCATCCAGCAAGGCCATCCTGCCTCAGGTCCCCAGCCAGTAGTACTGCTGGGTCTCAAGGTCGTTCTTAGAAACCTTGAAGCCACTAAGCAGCAGCAATTCCTCTTAAGCAGTTCCAGCTGTTTTCTAACTTCACCAGTACTTGCTTTTTGTTTCCTGTTTGGATCATGGTGAACAGAATTCAGATTTGGGCAAGTCTGGCCAAGGTTGCCCGAAAGCAGGGCGTGTGGGATGTCTGCCGGGCAGCAAGCCGCTTCTGCCTCCTCTACGACAACATCAAGACAAGGAAGCCAATGAGACTGAAGCGAGGTTGGTCCCCCTCATGGGTGGGGTGGGCTGGCCTTCAGGGCTTCACACCTCTGAGTGGCCGTGGCAGCCACAGCTCCTCTGAACCAGCAGGTCCCTCTCCTCCCTGGGGCACTCAGCGGGGCTACTCTCCCGTAAAGCCTACAGCCTCCTGGGAGAGGCCAGGACTGGCCCCGAAGCAGCAGAAAAGGCCACTGTCTCACAGGAGCCTTCAACTACTTGGAAAGCAGTATTTCTAAATGTGTGTGCAATCCAGCCAGCCTCAGCGTCTGTGGGTTTCTCCTCCGCAGATTCAACACTTTGAAAATACTTGGGAAAAAAGTCTGTTTTTTTTCCTGGTTGTTTCCTAATGTTGCTGGCTAAATGACACACTGTAACAATGGCTCAAGTAGCGCTCACATTGTGTTCAGGGTTACAAGTAACCTTCAGGTGATCTAGAGCCCAAGGGGGTGTGCATAGGATCTGTGCCAACCACACCGTTTTACAGAAGCAACGTAAGCACCTCGGGTTTGGATGTCTTAAGTCCCCAAGGACACTGAGCCACGGCTGTACATGTAGTGACTGCAAGTGACAGCCCATGACAAACATGGCAGTGACAGTTACCACCGACCATTATTTCCGCCTTGCATTGCTGGACGGATTCAGCATGGCGGTGTCCAGCTTGCTACACATTTGAGAGCCCACACGCCCTGCCCGGTCCATCCTGTGCGGAATTGGGCGGAAGCTTGGGCCCCTGGGGCAGGCCAGGAATTCCTGTGGTGTTGATCTTTCCCTCAGGAAGGAGGAAGAAAGTTGCCAATGGCTCCTCGCAGGACATCTGGGGCCAGTCTGAGGTGGGCCTGCAGAAGCCAGTGCCCCATGATCTGCTGAGGAAGTTCGCAGAGGTGGGGTTCATCAACGCCGAGGTACGAGGCCAGGGTCGTAGCAATGTGGCGATAAACACTTTAGCATGTTTATCACAGGACCCTATGTTTTGCTTCCTAAACAAAACTGGATGTTAAGGAAGGAAACTTGCCTGGGTTCTTGGAAGTTTTCCTAAGAGAAAAGTATGAATCAAAATGCATCATGATGCGTGTTGATGTCCATTTTTTGTTAGAAATAATTTCTGAACTCTTGAATCCAAAGTCACATAGATATAGCTTGTCACTGCCATTTCACTTGGGGGGTTTAAATTGGAGCTGATGACACGCTTTTGAAGGAGGCGTGATTTCTGTCGTGTGCCTCTGTGGGCCCGGCCAGGGCCTGGACTTCGATCCACAGCCACAACTCTAGACAGCCTGGTCCCCTGCCCGAAGTTGTCTGGGTAGAACAGGACCTGCTGGACCCAAATCCCACCCTGTGGCCCTAAGCCCTCAGCTCTCCATTGAGAGTCTCTGGGGACACATATGTGACCTGACCCAATCCCTGTGCTCTGCCCGGTCCTCCTCAACTCAGCCTGTCCCTGGGGGCCTTGGTAGCCTTTAATGCTGCAGAATGTATTTGGGAGGCGAGTGGGGAGACCAGCAGCCTGCTGGCTCATCTGTAGAGGGTGACGATGGCACAGGCTGTGCTTTTGAAACCAACCCTTCTCTTCCCGAGATGTGTGGCTTCATTGAAGTGACAGTCCATGGAGGTGGCCATTGGGGGTTCACTGTGCAGGCCTCTCTACCTTGTGTTTGGCATTTTCAAGCAAACCTTAAGGATGCTTGGTTGTGTGTTGCCCCGATCCTGGGCCCCTGTCCTGATAACCACTTTCCTGCAGGCCACCGTCCACTTGCTGCGCTCAGAAGGTGTGGAGCTGAATGACCAGGCCATCCCACCTGAAGACACTAGCCAGCATCCAGCTGGCTATGTGCCTGAGCCTCCAGACACCAACACAGAGTGGATCACGTACAGGTGGCAGTAGTGCAGTTGCTGTGGAGGCTGAGGGTGGAAGTAGAAGTGGATACCTCTCTGGCCCGGGCTTGAGGCTTGGTGGTCCTGCTTCTGGACAGAGGAGGTCCAGACACTGGGGCCCAGGCTGCTCCTGTCCATCCCAAAAGTAAAGAGTGGCTTGGACATTCCAAACATTTGTTACAGAAAATAGACAGAAATATGCAACAGAGATTACGGTAGCTCACAGAGTCTAAAATACTTAACATCTGGTCCTTGATGGAAAGTTTACCTGGCCTGGGCTGGCAGGGCAGAGATGCTGTCCCCGCATTCACTGTGTGAGTGACAGGGAATTGCCCTATGCTGGGTATGACCTGGCAGCCTGTATGTAAGGGGATGGACACATAACAGATTGGTGAGGAAGTGGGAGAAGGAGGTGTGCAGTGGTGGCTGCAGGGATGGAGAGAAGGCAGCTTGGGCAGAACCTCAAACCAGCAGTTCCTCAGAGAGGTAAGTGACAGCTCAAAACCTCAGGAGGACTGGGAGGAGCAGCGCAGGCTGCCAGGCTCAGAGCCTCAGGTGAGATCCAGCTTCAAAGGCAGCTGCACAAGGCAGCAGGACAGTACTGGGCTTGTCCCCAGGGTTCTGTCTGAACCCTAGGCTGGCCTGGAACACCCTCCAGACGTGAGCAGGGACTGCAGGAGAGTCCACGCGCACTTCTGCAGTGGCTCATTTGGGAGAGGCTTGGTGTCGAGCTGAAGGCTTCGTGGTGTACCTTTGCAGAACCTGGATAGAAAGCCTGTCACGCTATGCCATGAGTAACTGGCTGCGCTCTGCAGATATTGGGCAGGAGATAGGGGAACCCTGGATCGTGCAGAACGCTGTGGTCTATGTCCTGAACCACAACCACCATCTCATCGTGGCTGGGCGGCAGAAGGAGCTTGTGGACGCCTTGGACCACCTCCTGAGCATCGTCAAGGTCACAGGTCACAGTGGGTGGGTATGGGCTCCACGCTCGTTCCATTTTTCTATTTTTCCTTTTTTTTTTTTTTTTCTGTTTTCGGTCCTGGGGACCGAACTCAAGGCCTTGAGCACTATAAGGGAGGCGCATCTTATTACATGAGGAACTAGAGATTCAAGCCTCGCGTACCATAAGGTTGTGAATGACAATGCAGAGTCTGAGGAGCTACCAGGTGGACGAGTATATATATCAACTCTGGGGGCAAAAGGATGGCCAGAAAGACCAGCAGGTACAGGGAGCCTCACACTCAACATGGGTTCCCACCTGCCTCGCAATGCTTCAAAAGCCTGCAGCAGGGTCTGCCTGGGGCCAGGTCACTCACAGAAGTGTCAGGGAAAACTGACTCATCTTGGGTTTGGGGGAGGGGATGGGAGGAAATCTAGTTCTGGATGGTGATTCGCTCCGCCCTGACTTGTCGCGACACAACACGTTTGCTAATAGTATAGAATTAGAGAATTTGAGAGAGAAGGTCCATTGAGGTTTGCGGATATCATAAATTTTATCAAGGGTGAAATTTTTTTTTATGATCTTTCTATTTAATTCATACAGCATATTGCGAGAAGTCTTGGGTCAGTAATCTCATAGCCACGGCTCCTCACTACACTGCTCCCCGCGCGATGCCTAAGATACGCGCACATGTCACTGACTCTTCCCCCTGAGCATCTTCCCTACTTAAGATATGACCAGAGGAACTAGTTTTTCCGCGTTATTATCCTAAGTTTTTGATGTAATATTAGATTATAGCAAATAAGAGAAGGAACAAGGTATTGCTGGGTTGAATAGAGGATTAGCTATGACAGGGCAATTGACTCACATTGAATTTCCTGTTGTGCGTGGGAGTGTTACCTCTAGGTTAATTCTTCTGATCTCACCTTTTCTATGTGGCTAAGCTGGTGTTTGACTCATGTCATCTTGTTACTGGCTGATTGGCTGACACCTGTGGTTATTAAAGGGATGTAGATGCATATGAGATTTCCTCTTGTGACACGAGGAAGGAGGGCCAACAAATGCTAAATGTCTAGTTTTTTAGGTGTTAAACTATCCTCACTCTCCTTCTCTTGGTGACTTCTCTGGCTTTTATCATGTGCTCAATAGTCCATCCCCCTTGTTTGTGTTTTGCCTTGATCTAATGTCCTACATAATGACGTGGAGACCTACGATTTTTGGTTTTGGGTACAGGGCGTCACCTCACTTAAGACTGCAGGTGAGTTTCTAGTACTGAGTTCACAAGTTGTATCAACCATCTACCAGCGAATGATAACATTTCATTCTTCTTCATGGCTGCATAAAAATTCATTGTGTATAGAATACCAATTTTCTTAATCCATTCGTCAGTGGTGGGGCATCTTGGCTGTTTCCATAACTTGGCTATTGTGAATAGTGCAGCAATAAAACATGGATGTGCAGGTGCCTCTGGAGTAACAGTCTTTTTGGGTATATCCCAAGATGGTATTGCTGGATCAAATGGGAGATCATGTCTAGCTTTTTAAGTAGCCTCCAAATTTTTTTCCAGAGTGGTTGTACTAGTCTACATTCCCACCAGCAGTGTAAGAGGGTTCCTTTTTCCCCGCATCCTCGCCAACACCTGTTGTTGGTGGTGTTGCTGAATGATGGCTATTCTCAGGGGTGAGGTGGAATCTTAGCGTGGTTTTAATTTGCATTTCCTTTATTGCTAGAGATGGTGAGCATTTTTTCATGTGTTTTTTGGCCATTTGAATTTCTTCTTTTGAGAAAGTTCTGTTTAGTTCACTTGCCCATTTCTTTATTGGTTCATTAGTTTTGGGAGAATTTAGTTTTTTAAGTTCCCTAATATATTCTGGTTATCAGTCCTTTGTGTGTAGTTGGCAAATTTTCTCCCACTCTGTGGGTGTTCTCTTCAGTTTAGAGACATTTCTTTTGATGAACAGAAGCTTTTTAGTTTTATGAATCCCATTTATCTATGCTATCTCTTAGTTGCTGTGCTGCTGGGGTTTATTGAGAAAGTTCTTACCTATACCTACTAATCCAGAGTATTTCCTACTCTTTCCTGTATCAACTTTAGAGTTTGGGTCTGATATTAAGATCTTGATCCATTTTGAGTTAATCTTGGTATAGGGTGATATACATGGATCTAGTTTCAGTTTTTTGCAGACTGCTAACCAGTTTTCCCAGCAGTTTTTGTTGAAGAGGCTGCTTTTTCTCATCGTATATTTTTAGCTCCTTTGTCAAAGACAATTGGTTATAGTTGTGTGGCTTCAATATTGGGTCCTCTATTCTGTTCCACTGGTCTTCATGTCTGTTTTTGTGCAGTACCATGCTGTTTTTATTGTTATTGCTTTTGTAATATAGTTTGAAGTCAGGTATTGATACCTCCTGCATTGTTCTTTTGACTGAGTATTGCCTTGGCTATTCGTGGCCTCTTGTGTTTCCATATAAATTTCAACGGTAGATTTTTCAATCTCTTTAATGAATGTCATTGGAATTTTGATGGGAATTGCATTAAACATGTAGATTACTTTGGGAGTATCGACATTTTTACTATGTTGAATTCTACCAATCCATGAGCATGGGAGATCTCTCCACTTTCTATAGTCTTCCCTCAATCTCTTTCTTCAGAAGTGTATAGTTTTCCTTGTAGAGGTCTTTCACATCTTTTGTTAGGTTTACACCTAGGTATTTGATTTTTTTTGAGGCTATTGTAAATGGAATTGTTTTCATATATTCTTTTTCAGTTTGTTCATAGTTAGTGTATAGAAATGCTAATGATTTTTCTATGTTGATTTTTATATCCTGCTACCTTGCTATAGCTATTGATGATGTCTAGAAGCTTCTGAGTGAGTTTTTTGGGTTTTAAGGTATAGGATCATGTCGTCTGCAAATAGGGATATTTTGACAGTTTCTTTACCTATTTGTATTCCTTTTATTCCTTCTTCTTGCCTAATTGCTCTGGCTAGGAATTCCAGTACTATGTTGAATAGGAGTGGAGATAGTGGGCATCCTTGTCTGGTTCCTGATTTTAGAGGGAATGGTTTCAGTTTTTCTATAAGTATAATGCTGGCTGTAGGTTTGTCATATATAGCTTTTATAATGTTGAGGTACTTTCCTTCTATTCCTAGTTTTCTTAGAGCTTTTATCATGAAATGGTTGGATCTTATCAAAGGCTTTTTCTGCATCTATTGAGATGATCAAGTGGTTTTTGTCTTTGCTTCTGTTAATGTGGTTTATTACGTTTATTGATTTTCATATGTTGAACCACCCCTGCATCCTGGGATGAAGCCTACTTGGTCGTGGTGAATATCTTTTTGATGTGTTGTTGAATTCAGTTTGCCATTATTTGTTGAGGATTTTTGCATCAATGTTCATTAAGGAGATTGGCCTATAGTTCTCCTTTTTGGAGGTGTCTTTGCTGGTTTTGGGATAAGTGTAATACTGGCTTCATAAAATGTGTTTGGCAGTTTTCCTTCCCTTTCTATTTCGTGGAACAGTTTAAGGAGGGTTGGTATCAGTTCTTCTTTAAAGGTCTGATAGAATTCAGCAGAGAATCCATGGTCCTGGACTTTTCTTTTTGGGGAGACTCTTGATTGCTGCTTCAATTCATTTTGTGTTATAGTCTATTCAGGTGATTAATTCCTCTTGGTTCAGTTTTGGATGATCATATGTATCTAGAAATCTGTCCATTTCTTTAAGATTTTCAAATTTATTTGAATATAGGTTCTCAAAGTAGTCTCTGATGATTTCCTGGACTTCCATGGTGTTTGTTGTTATCTCCCCTTTTGCATTCCTGATTCTACTAATTTGGGTTTTTCTCTCCTCATTTTAGTCAGGTTTGCCAGGGGTCTGTCATCTTGTTTTTTTTTTCAAAGAACCAACTTTTTGTTTCATTAATTCTTTGTATGGTTTTTTTTGGTTTCTATTTCATTGATTTCAGCTCTTATTTTTATTATTTTCCTCTCCTTTATTTGTTTTGGGATTTGCTTGTTCTTGTTTTTTCTAGGAGTTTGAGATGTATCATTAGGTCATTGATTTGGGATCTTTCAGTCTTTTTAATATATGCATATGGCTATAAACTTTCCTCTCAGGACTGCCTTTGCTGTGTCCCATAGGTTCCGGTAGGTTGTGTTTTCATTTTCATTGACTTCCAGGAACTTTTTAATTTCCTCTTTTATTTCATCAATGACCCATTGTTCATTAAGTAATGAGTTATTCAGTTTCCAGCTGTTTGCATGTTTTTTTCTTTACTTTTGTTGTTGAGTTCTATTTTATTGCATTGTGATCAGATAGTATGCATGGTATATTTCTATTTTCTTATATTTTGAGGCTTGCTTTGTGCCCTAGGATATGATCTATTTTGGAGAAGGTTCCATGGGCTGCTGAGAAGAATGTATATTGTGTAGAAGTTGGATGAAATGTTCTGTAGACATCAATAGGTCCATTTGATCTATTGCATATTTTAGATCTTGGATTTCTTTATTGATTTTTTGTTTGGATGACCTATCTATTGATGATAATGGGGTGTTAAAGTCTCCCACAACCACTGTGTTGGAGTTATATATGCTTTTAGGTCCTTTCAGGGTATGTTTGATGAAATTGGGTGTTGACATTGGGTGCATATAGGTTGATAATTATTATTTCCTTTTGGTCTATTTCCCCTTTATTAGTATGGAATGTCCTTCTTTATCTCGATCAATGTAGGTTTGAAGTCTACTTTGTCAGAGATAAGTATTGCTACTCCTGCCTGTTTTCGGGGGCCATTGGCTTGGTAAATCTTCTTCAGCCTTTCATCCTAAGCCTATGCTTATTTCTGTTGGTGAGATGGGTCTCCTGTAAGCAACAAATTGTTGGATCTTCCTTTTTAATCCATTTTGTCAAGGTGCCTTTTGATGGGTGAATTAAGTCGTTAACATTAAGTGTTAGTACTGATAGGTATGTGGTGATTCCTGTCATTTAGTTGTCTTAGTTGTTTGAAGGTTTGATTGTGTGTACCTAAAGTTGAGGTTACTCTCTACTTCTTGCTTTTTCTTTTCCTGTGTTTGGTGCTGCCTGTTCTTTCATGGTTAAGTTGGGTTTCACTTTCTGTGTGCAGAATCCCTTGAAGAATCTTTTGTAGTGGTGGCTTTGTGGTCATATTGTTTTAGTTTCTGCTTATCATGGAAGACTTTTATTGCTCCATCTATTTTGAATGATAAGTTTTGCTGGGTAGAGTATCCTGGGTTGAAGTTATTTTCATTCAGTGCCCGGAAGATCTCACCCCAAGCTCTTCTTGCTTTTAATGTTTCTGTTGAGAAGTCTGCTGTGATTTTGATGGGTTTACCTTTGTATGTTATTTGTTTTTTCTCTTTTACAGTCTTCAATATTCTTTCCCTAGTTTCTGAACTTGTTGTTTTAATGATGATATGTCGTGGGGTAGTTCTATTTTGATCTGGTCTGTTTGGTGTTCTAGAGGCCTCTTGCATCTGTATGGGAATATCTTTCTCTAGATTTGGGAAATTTTCCGTTATTATTTTGTTGAATAGATTACGCATTCCCTTTGTTTGCACCTCTTCTCCTTCTTCAATGCCCATGATTCTCAGGTTTGGTCTTTTGATGGAGTCGGTGACTTCTTGCATTTTCTTTTCACAGGTCTTGAGTTGTTTAATTAATAGTTCTTCGGTTTTTCCTTTAATTACCATTTCATCTTCAAGTTCTGAGATTCTGTCTTCTGTTTGTTCTATTCTGCTGGATTGGCCTTCCATTTTGTTTTGCAGTTCTGTTTCATTCTTTTTTCTGAGGTTTTCCATATCCTGGCTGTTTCCTTTTAATGTTGTCTATTTTTCCTGAGTTCATTTATTTATTATTGTGTTCTTTGTTTCACTTGGTGTTTATACAGTGCTTCTATGGTTTCCTTTTATTTCTTCTTTTGCTTTTTCAAATTCTCTATTTTTGTTGTCTATTTTTATTGTCATGGAATTTGAGTGTCTCCTGTACATTTTGGTTGACCCTATCCCAGTATCATCTTCTATAAAATTCTCATTGATTACCTGGTATAGTTCTTCTTTTAAATTATTTCTTGTGGGCTTCATTGGGTCCTTTGCATAGTTTATCTTCATTTTGTTGGAGTCTGGATCTGAGTATCTGTTTCTTCATTTCCCCGGTTTTCCTGTACTAATTTTTTTGTGTGGGGAAATTGGTTTCCCTGTTTTTTTCTGTCTTCCCGTCATTGTCTTTGGTGTTGTTACTGTCCCTGTACTGTGCAATTAAGTATTTTCTAGCTTGTAATAATAACAATGGTGATATTTAGAATGGAAGGGTGAGAGGAGAGGGAAAGCAAAGAAGTTAAAGAGAAAGGGAAAAACAAATAAACAAACAAGTAGAAAAAAATACAAAGAAACAAAAAAGTTTCAACAATATAAACAGGGAAAGGCAGTGTACTAATCAACAGTAAGCTAAACAGGCATTAGAGAGACAGAGAGAGGATTGAAAAAAAAATCTCCAAGTTCAAATGCAATAAAGTTTCTGTTTTAATAATTTTGGTGTTTGTCCCTCAGCCTCCAATCCTGGAGATGGTGTCTTAGATGTTGCTCTGTACTTGTCTCATCAAAGGGGAAACAAAACAAAACAAAACAAAACAAAAAAACAGCACAAAGTGTCCCAAGTTCAAATGCAATACAGTTTCAGTAAGGTTTTCAGCTTGCAGGTGTAGTTCGGTTGTTTTCTCATCAAAGGAAGAGAGAAAAAAGAGTCTGGAGACAGTTCTGAGAATGGTATCTGTGGCTGTGGCTCGCCTGCCTGCTGCTGTCAGCCTGCTGTTGCTGAGGCTTTTTTGTGCAGATCTCGGGGGTGAGCTTAGCACTTCACCTGGCCCCGCATGCTTTGCTTACTCAGATTTCTCCTGTGGGGAGCCTTCTGCTACAAGGCTTTCCCCTTTCCAAGCACACTGGGGAGGTGACACTGCACCCGCTTTCTCAGGCCTGCGTGTTTGTTTACAGCTCACGTGGGAAGTGGGTCTTCCCCCTCTCCTGTGGAGTTTTCCTCCCTCCTCCACTCTCGCAAGCTTTCCCGCTCCTGGTTGCTGGGCGTGTGCCGCCGCTCCCGCCCTCTCCAGCCAGGCCCGGCTTGTTTATTTACAGTTCTGGGAGGGATTTCCCTTCCCCGCCTTCTGCGCTCATAGCTCTTTGCTATGTGTCTTTGTTGTTCTTATTGTTTATTATTCAGTTTCTCCTTTTTTCCCTGGGTGGGGTTGGTCTGTCCAGGGGCTATGCTGATCTGTCCAGGGTCGTCTGTGGGAGTACCATGTCCCACTTAGCTCACCTCGTGGTCCGCGTCTTCCCAAGCCATATAGGCGTGGGCGTCTGGCGGCGGCCGGGGTCCTCCTGCTTTCTCTGTTCAATGTGAAGTGGAGATGTTGTGCGCAGGCTGGAGGTGTGGAGGGGTCAAAGTTTTGCCTCCTCTCAGTGGTTTTTCCTGTAAGGTGTATCTCCAGAGTCTCTCCAAGATTTCACTTTAGGAGGCACGCTTTCTGCTTCCTCCCTCTAGCCACCATCTTCAAATCTCCCCCAAGATGAAAATTTCATGTAATTTTTGTTGGTTTCCAGTCTATCAATGGGATTTTAATTTTTTTTACACCAGATTCTAAAGTAGGATGCTAAAATGAGTCAACGCAGCAGCAGAGCCAGTGTGACCACACTAGTAATCCCAACCTGGGCCATTTAGTGAGAGCCTGTCTTAAAATACAAAAACTGAAAACAAAGCTAAACCAAAGCAAGAAGGAACACAGCAACATCTGCACGTTATGTTTTTAAAACTGCAAATCGTGAATAAGTGACTGCTCAGCAGTGTGGCGCGCTCTCCAGAGCTCACTCCCTGCCCAGGGGTCTCACGACCACGTTTGCTTCCAGGGACTCTGTGTTGCTTGCTATGCTGTGCAATGCCCTGGCTCGAGGCCTCATCATCAACTGGATTCCTACCCAGACCCCTGAAAAGCTGAAAAGGTCTGTGCGGCCAGTTATGTTTCACACTCCCTTGGACTCGGGAGCCACCTCTGAGACCAGGACAGCAGTGGAGGTACCACCTCCCTCGGGACAGGGCATGAGCAGGCCGGGGGAGGGATGGTTGCGTGGACACTGGACAAGGTGTGGGAGGGGAGGGATAGGGGAGGGCCACTGCCTGGACAAGGTATGGGGAGGGGAGGGTCTGCACCTGGACATGATGTGGGGTGGGGACAGGGGACAGAGAGGGTGCCTAGCCAACCTGGGGGAGGAATGTGGAGGCCTCTGAAGCTCCAGGCAAGACAGGGATTCAACCCTCAGGCTGTGGAAGTGGGACTGCAAGAGAAGTTTGGGACATGAGACTGGCAGGCTCCATGTGCCTGAAGGAAGGGGTGGAGAGGGAGCGGGTCAGCCCGAAGGGGATGGTGGGAGCTGGGCCATGCCACTGCCATTCTGGGGCAGAGGAGAACTCGTGAGTAGAACCAGGCAGGACAGCACTAGAACACTGGGAACTGACTCTGCAGCTTGAGCAGGGAAATAAATGTCAACCCCAGGTGACAGACTTCTCTCATGACATTCGTTTCCCATAAGTGTGACTGTTACTGTGGTAATCCACACAAAAGGAGAATGATGGGTATGGATGGAGGTTCCCAGAGTTCGAGAACTCATCAGCCATTTCTAACTCAAAAGGATCTTAGAAAACCAGAAGAAAAGCCAGTTTCCTCAGAGCCACAGCAGAGCCTGAGTGTGGACCCCAAGAAGCACTTTGGGGAGAACTGGAGGGGTGTGGTGAGCGGTCTTGGCCCAGCAGTCAGATTGGAGGAGATGAGAGCCAAGCTCAGCAGCTCACACTCTTGAACCCCTCTGGCCATGGGTAAAACAGAGCCTGTTGCCCATGTCCACTACCTGGCCTATGCTGGGGTCAGAGCCGGGCTGGAGAAGCCTCCCCTGCCACAGGGCCATGGTGGGAGCAGTGCCGGATGAGGTGCAGAAGGGGAGGGGTCAGTACAGTCTTCATTCCCAGAGAGGAATGGGCCAGGCAAGAGGTCTGAGCTGGAGGGCATGTTGGTGGCTGGGTCCAGGCGCTAGAAGACCACCCTGATGATGCCGCAACTGCCAGGGTGGATGAATGCTCAGCACAGTGAGGGGCCAGGTCTCAGCAGGTGACAGTGCACAGCAGCAGACTCCAGCTGTGGTGGTGGGGGGTGAAGTATGCTAGAGGAGGGACACAGCCCATGGGGCCCACACACACTTCCATGGACATTCCTGCAGAATGTGACAGGATTTCCTGCAAGTTTGTCCCGGAAGGGTGGAGGGGACAGCAGGGTCGGACTTTTGTCTGTGGACTCATGTGCCACCTGGCTGCCCTGCAAGGACCAGGGTTGGTGTCATGGCTGGGAGATTGAGTATCTCTGGTGAGCAAGTGGTCACTCCCAGTGGTGGTGATCATGGCACTGGCGGGGCTCTGGCTAATAACCCCCATATACAGGGTTTTATCCCCCATTAAAGGTGGGGAAATTGAGGCACAGAACTGAGAAACTTGTCCTCACACACAAGCAAAGAGAGGCCAGGGCCAGATGGGCTTTCAGGGCCTGGCCCACACGCCCCATTACTGCCTGCACACATGTGGAAGGTCTGATTCTCAATGTCCACAATCCCAGAACCACTGCCTGCCACAGTGGGACAGGAGGCCCTGCTCAGCACCCCTTCACTGTGGCTTTGGGTGCATTTCTGATCTGCACCCTGGGGTGACATGTTTTGCGCTGGCTCTCCAGGTGTGTGACTGCAGGTGTGCACATGGGACTGGCAGGGCCCAAGGCTGCTCCCCACCCCCTGCACACCTAAGGAGCATCTTTGGGCCCTTGGAGTCCTCGGGCCGCTTGAGGACTGCTTCTTACTGTCCGCACAAGAGCTGGCTCCTTGCTTGGTGGCTTGGTCTTGGCTCAAGGTCCAGTGTCTGGATTGAGGCTTTGTGAACAAGGATGCGCTATTTCAGGTGTGCGAGTTTGTGCTGAACCTGACCAATGGGAACATGCCCGAGGAGGTGGTCCCCATCAAAGTGCGACAGCAGGTCATCGCCACCTGGGTGAAAGCCAAGCAGCTGCTGCAGCAGCAGATCGGACAGCGGCTGGGCACCGAGGAGCAGGTGTGGCTCTGTGACAGGGCTGAGGCAGCCCCAGGGCAGGGGGCACCAGCCTACAAGCAGGACCCACAGGCTGCCTTTTCCCAAAGTTTGGCCCCCTGTTCCCATCACAGGCTGAGACACATCTGGCTGCTGTGGGGAAGCAGTTCTCATGTTGGAAGGTCTGTAGGCTCGTTCCCCACTGAAATTGTTGCCCTCGAGAGTCCGGGCAGGCAGCCTCTCCAGGTCTGAGTTCTGGACCTCTGGGGAGTCTGTCCATCCTCAGTGCCACTTATCCGCTGAGGGTCACCTCCTTGGCAGGGTGCTAGCCCACACCCCCAGCTAATGTTTGATGGGAGACTGAGAGGGGACAGGGACCAAGTAGACTCAGCCAACCACAATGCCCCTGATCCTGCAAACACAAGCCAGTGGGCCACAGTGGAGCCTGAGGACAATCATCACAGGCTGGACAGGGATGCGGGGGTAGCCAGGAAAGGCACAGGGATGGAGACAGGACATATGGGCCAGGCCAGGAATGAGGGGTTGGTGGGAGCCTGGAGCACCTGCAGTGCAGGTAGAGGCAGAATAAGCTCCAGGAGCCTGTGGAGGCCTCAGCACCAGGTCCCAGCAGCCCTCCACCCCAGCCAGGCCACCCCAGTGGTGAGACGAGTGGGTCGTCCTCACTCGAGGCTGCACAGACACAGGATCTTTCTGTTATTATATGGGGGAAATAATGTGGAGGTAGACATTCACAGCAATGGCCTCAGGTAGAAACACTGAATTTTGTGGTCTGGTTTTCTGATACACCTGCTTCACAGGGTTGATTCAGGCATTCTGCAGCCTGTCTTCTCAGTTCCTCAGACCACCACTCACTCAGTGCTCCTCCTCCCCAGCAGAGCACGGATGAGGACATCAGCTCCATGACCAGAGTCCTTGTCGCCCTTGAAATGTACTCGTGCAACGGACTGGGTCTCATGGACTTCACCGTGCCCTCCCTGGCCCAGGTGGGTGTCACCAGTGTCCCTGGAGGTATGCCAATGCTGTGTGCTGAGCTGAGAGTCCCCACCCCAGAAAGACAAGAGGCTGAGCCTCCGAGGGTCCTGCCTGAGGCGGTCAGAATTGGAACCCACACCCACATCCACACGGAGGCTCTGTCTGTCTGCCACAGGGCTGCATGTGTTTCCCTCACGGGAACTGTTTGGTGTGTATCTTTATCTTGATGTGAGGGGAAATGCTTCTGAGCAGCCCCTCCATGTCCTGCCCCACCCCGAGTCCTCGGCACAGGGGGTGGCATTCACGGGGACCACACACATCATCCCAGGCCAGGAGAGGGCATGGCTGTGAAGGCAGTGGCACGTTTTATAGTGCAGGTGGGCCTTGCAAATTGCGGGTCTGTCCAGGATGGCGTGCGCTAAGCGATGAAAAGTCATCATCACTCACGTGATGCCCTTCTGTCCTGGTTGCCTGCTGCCGGGAAGGTGGTGAAAATGGCTTCTGAGTGCAACTGGTCGGACCCCGTGGTGGAGCTGCAGACCCTGACACGCCTGACGCACTTTGCCTACGCGGCCCATGACCATGAGGTCACCATGGCATGCTCTCAGAAGGCCACGCAGATGGGCATCAGATACCTGAGGACATTTGATCAGTAAGTAACCTCCAGAATGCAGCAGCCTTCAGTAACCACCATGGGAGGACATTGAAGCAGGTGTCAACCTTGGCTCCTAACTCACCCAGACACCAGTCAAGTATAAAGTTAAAATAAAGCCGCCTTTAGACAGAGAGACCCAGAAATTGTACTGTTCTTACTCCATTTTTAGAAAGTTGCTTGAGGATGTGATCAAAAAATATATATAGATATAGATATAGATATAGATATCTATATATATATGGTAGTAAACTAGAATGTGAAGGATGTAGGATGGTGGAAATAACAGATCAAGGTGAGCCAAGGTCAGACAATGCTGGCTTGCTGAAAGAGCTGCCATCTAACTCAGAGGAAAGGACCCACTGTGAAGAGCTCCACAGGTCCCCTGGAAAGGAAGATAGTACAGGGGGAGGGGGTGCGACACTGGAAACACAGCAAGGCTGGGGTGAGGCATTGAACTCAGTGAAATCCTGTCCATATGCATGGAGGTGTTGAAGTCCCTCCACCAGGATTAGCATTTGCACAAAAAGAACTGATGAGTTCTGACAATTCACAAGTCAAATAAAAGCACAGACATCATGCTTTAGGGGCAGAAAGCAAGAATGCACAAGGGGAGAGGACAGTGCCACGATGCCCTCTGAGAAGGCAAGCAGAGAGTGACACTTACCGCTTACCCAGGGTCCAAAAGAGTAGAGGCTAGGATGATAAGGGGAGCCAAGAGCCGTGCCCTAACTAGCTGCAACAGCAGGGCAGTACTAGTAGCTGGATGCTAGTTACTATGACAAGAGCAGGACAGGGAACACCGAGGACAGACAAGCTGAGAAACCTCGGTAGGGGCCAGGTCTGAGGTGAGCTCATCCCTGCTAAAACACAGAGCTGCAAACTGAGAAGTCTCCCGACAGGGAGTTGGCAGGGTGGGGAGAGGCAGGCATCCTCAGCCATGTGCAGGCTCCCTTCACCACTCAAAAGTTATTCTTAGAGGAAAGAAACCAGGCAGACATCTCTGCAGAGCGATGGGTGCGTGCTGT